ACACGAGACTCGCGACAAAGGCAAGGAATGCCCTTGAGACAATTGCGATCATAGACTGAAACCTCGTCTTCGTGTGAAGCAAGGAAATTCTACATATTAGGATATATCCTTCTGATGCTCTGATTGGGAAACTTTTACGGAAGGCAATGATTAAACTAAAACTAGTATTCCATTAGAGTGAAGCGGAATAAATCAATATTTTTATGAATCATTAAGAGCAATTGAAAAAACAAGTCTGTGTGTGTGTGTGTGCGCGCGCGCGCGTGTGGGTGAGTGGGTGTGTGGGTGGGTGCGTATTCAATTATATTGTAAAATTGAATATTAGTTTCTTTATTCTTGCATAGTAGGTAATAAAAGTGAGTTCGAATTTGGGTTCAAATTTTTGAACTTCATTATTTAGTGAGAACAAATAAATATTTATTTATATTTGAGAGGTAATTTTTATGACATTTTATAGAAAGATCTGAAATATATTTTATGTAAAAAATATCAACTTTGATTTCATATTATTAGTTTATAAAAATGATTGTTTGTATCAAATTAACGTTTAAGGTTGCTAATTTTCTATCGGATACTATTATTTACAAATTAATATTAGATTATTAAACTACACAATATTAGTAAAATTGATCCACATTCATATATATTCGTGCAAAGTTTTCTATTGATAACACGTTACATTAATTCAATACGTTCTTATTCATTTATATTTATAATCGCATCTTATTACATTTCTACATCCAGTCAAATATTTAAATCATAATTTCCGAATAATATGACTCATATTTATGTTTGATGCACCAATAACATACCTTGATACTAATTTCCCAATCAGTTATGCAACTTTAGTGAAATTTTGTGTGTATTGTATGCCTCCTGACCAAAGCGATGAAAAAGAATTCGTCACGTTGATTATGCATGATTTATGTTACATATCATGCATAATCTGATGTTATGCATAGTGTGTACAAAACTTTATATATAAGTGGGTTTTAGGTCTTGTAAAATCAATAATAAAGAAAAGAAAAAAAAAAAAAAAAAAGAAAAACACAAGGTTTTGGAATTAAGTCAATTTTAAAATATATTGGTTAATCAATTGTATATGAAGTAAAGATAACATTTCGACTGGTGTTTAGCTCAAAACATAAACCGTAATATCTTCAAAACGAATTTTCTTAAGATTTATATAAAATTTTATTTGACTTAATTAAATATAATATCAATTATGACGTGTTGTTATGTTATTGGTTTTTATTTTTTCGAAATATATAGTCGTAAAGAATAATTTTCTTAATAATAGAAATTTTAAGAAATTGTATACACAATTTTTACTGTCTAATTTTAAAGCAATTTGCTCCTCACAGAGAGAATTTACAAGGCCTTATATACTCCAATATCGATTGACTTCTATTATAATGCAAATAAGAAATTGCGCACATATCCGTGTAAAATATTAGCCATTGTTGCGAAAATAATTGAAAATTTTGTACGATTCGGTTGAAGATTTAATGAGGAAAAGAAATATTATCTGGTTATCTATGGGTCTTGTAAAGAAAATAATTTTTAAGCAATTTGATTTTTAAGCAATTCGACATTTGACTTGATTATCTAAAATTTCCATTTCAGTTCATTATTAACTTAAATTATCATTTTAATGGATTTTGAATCAGATCTGTTTTTGAGTATAATATGATCAGAAATTGTAACAGACAAAAAATTATCTTTACGAGATCCGAATGAGTACAAGAATAAGAATTACGAAAAATATGAAAATATTTGAAAAACTTATAATAAATGTAAATCATAGGGCGATTATGCCTAAATCGAATATAGCAAAATGAATGATTGAATAAAAAAAATCTGTATACGAGGTTTTCTATTAATTATCTTAAAATAATTACCATCACAAGATAGATGAATAATATTTTTCATGATTCGATGTCTTGTTCTCTAAAACTTAATCAAGCCATATTGCCATACTGCCTTAAAAGCTAGTTTGATAGGTAATTTATACCATGTAAAACTAATAACAGAAAGTCGTAATTGCCGTGTGTGGCATGATTTAGTATATGATATTATTTATTCCAAGATGAAACTTGGATAATAAAGTAAATTATACCTATAAAAAAGAACAGTTATATATAATGTCTGAAGTCGAACATTGTATATTCTATGGTACAAGATCTTGTGAAATGTACATAAACTAATTTAGTGACGGAAGATTCCCAAGTGAAATGTAAAAATATCCTTTAGCTCGTTATTATCTTTTATAATAAAATATTCAAGTATGCCAATGTCTCTAAAATGTTGATTTTAATATGATTGATGAGGGACGTGATTTATTTCGTTTGTCAATAATTGAACTATCGATTCTAATGTCGATTATTGTTTTTGAAATATGTTTGAAAGTTTGAGGTTTATTTTTTTTTTCTTTTCGTTGAAATGATTAAGCATTGATAGTAAGTAATTAGATTTCGTCATACTATTATATATTCGATTGCGTTTATTACAATATTGATTAAGGAAATATGTTGTTTTCTTGTTGATTCCTTTAAATTTTTCGCTACTAAAATGTCAATATTCAACAGCTGTTTTTTTATTATGCGAAAAAATATTGTTAAAGTTCGCTTGACTAGCGAAACATTACGATTGAATTCGTATTTTTATTAATAAATTAATACAATTTAATAAATAATTTGTTGATACCTTTACTTTTCATTTTATAAAAAAATCTTACTCTTTCATGTTGAAAACTTAAAAGTTTAAATAATTTAGTCAAAACAGTTATAACATAAACTTTAAAAATTTAATATGTATTATAATTTCCAACTAAAGAGGTAAAATTATTCAATTGAGAAATAACATTAAAAGTAAAAATGAGGATGACTTTATTAGAATATTATCTAAAATAATATTTATATACAGACGGATTAAACATAATGGCGATTATATTTTATTATTATTCGTATTTTTTAAATATAAATCTAGCTTCGTATATTTACTGAATTTAATAAACAGAATAGTTTTTAAAATCAATTATAATCATTTTGAATTTTGGAATAAAATTACCCTCCTTGTTGGAATAAATATTAATAAAATAAAATACTCATATATCTTGTAGTAGTTTTATTACAATTAATAAAAATTAAATTTATTTGTATTAGAAATTTTCGATTCGTTAAAACGTCATTAAATATATTCGAATTTTATTGAAAAATAACATTGAATTATAATACAGTTTTATTAAGAATCAATAATTAATGTTTTAGAGAGTTTAAATTAATTTCTATTTAATTTTTATTATTTTATATTTATTTATTAAATGATAATTGTAATTGAATTTAGATGCCTCGGATATTTAAAAATATAGAAAATTATTGAAATTTATTAATTAAAAATTTATTGATTTTTTACTTTTTTTTTATTTATTTATTATTGATCAGTGCCTTTTGATTTTTCCTCTTCATTCCTTTAAAGTAATAGAAACATTTGTTTTTTGAATGACTTGATATTCTCATCTATTTAGTCATTGAGTTCATGACTTTTATTTGAAAATTAAAGAAACACGTTCATATATTATGTTTAATAATTTATTGTCATTTGAAAACGTAATAAATACATAATAAAGGCGAATTATTAAACTCATTGGTATGTTTATCTAAATATCAAATGTAAATATTGCATAATTATATTAAATAAAGTCATAGTAGGCGCTAAATTAAGTATTAAAAATATCTTTATTGACTTTTAATATATAATGAATCTAATAATTGGCTAGACAAAATAGGATATAAAATATTAAGATATTGAAAAATATACCATACAATGCATCGTATACTATATTATGTTTATAAAAAATTATTAATAATGGTCAAATGATTAATTACAATTTATTTAACTAGTTTTAATTATACAGTGTTTCTAAATTATTATTAGTTAGTATTGTTAAAATTAACATTTGCTCATTTTATTTCAATTATACACAATCTTTTGTATATTGAGCGAAGATATTAAAAATTTAATATTTTAAATTGATTATTAATCTTCAACATTCAATTACTGTGGTAATTGTATGAAAAAGTGAAAAACAACTACAAGCGAAAATTAATTATTGTTAAGGCGATTTCATTTAAAAAATAAAAATTGAAAAATAATTAGTAAATTAATAATTTGTTAGACGAGGTAAGGTTGTTAGTCTATCTAGTTAAGGTAATGAAAATTTATTTATAACTATTACTAATTCCGTATTTGTGTCTGAAAAATATCTTTAAAATATCATTTAAGTCTTTGAACACCATTACTCTATGGAGCTTCGAAATATTCGAAATTCCATTGAATATTATATAAAGTATTTTTATTAGCAAATGTAACAATTAATGAATATTACATTAATAATATACGTTGGCTGAGCAATAGTAATTTAAGAAAGAAAAATTTTGCAATCCTTTATTTATGAAAATATTAGTAAATATTTTAATAAGTGTAAGGTGGACAATCATTAGAGACGCGCAGTACATAGAAAAAATAGTGAAAATAGTGAAATAGCATAGTGAAAATTTAAAAAAAAAAAATTCTTACAGAGATATTAATATGATGAAATCGATGACAATTAATCGTTTTTTGATTAATCGTTTTCGCCTCGATTATTAAATTAATTATCATTATAAAATTGTATTATTAAATACATTCTTAATATCTCAAAGAGATAAATATTCTTTTTTTCATATCATTCTTTATGATTTTATTCTATTTCATGTTCTTTCTTAAAAACATTACATTCTATATATGATAAAAGAAATTTATTGTCAGATGTAACTCTAGCGAACAAAGTAATGAAATTTATTAATAATTTGATTAATATTTATATTTGCCATTATGAGCATTTACTCCAATCGCTTATTTACGCTATTAGATTGATTTGTTTTCATTTGCATCGTGTTTGCGCTACTTCGATGAGAATGCATTC